GGAGATCAGTCAGTCTCTGTGCCTCAGAGCACTTGATTGAAAGCCAGATGTGCATCTGTGCCTCAGAGCACTTGAAAGCCAGATGTGCATCTGTGCCTCAGAGCACTTGAAAGCCAGATGTGCATCTGTGCCTCCATGCCATTCGCTCCTCCTATTTCCACATCTACGAATTAGCTGAATCTCCACAGCAGCTGAACGGGAAGGGGATGCCACACCAATTACAATGGTTTGTCAAGTTGAAGAATTATAATGGTCCCATGGCATGGAGGTTCATCCCGATGGTTCGTGGAGGGGGAGCAGTGGTTCGTGGAGGGGGAGCAGTGGTTCGTGAAAGACTCAAAGTGCTTCCGTGGAGGGTTCGGTTCGGACTCACAATGGTGCGGCTGCGGCGGGTGCGGGCAGGGATGGGGCGAACGAAGAGAGTGGCGTAGGGGTCGATGGTGCCGAGCAGCGACAGGTTCACGAGGTCCCTCCCCTCCACCAGCTTCACCTCCAGCACTCCCACCGTGCGCATCTGTAGGTACCTGGGGGGAGCGGGAGAGAAACAGAAGAGGGGAAGGGCTTGAAATGAGCAATGGGGGGTTCACGAGGTCCCTGCCCTCCACCAGCTTCACCTCCAGCACGCCCACCGTGCGCATCTGTAGGTACCTTGGGGGGGGGGGGTTGTTGGGCAATAAGAGTGAGTCATGTGGAATAAGAGTGGGTTTCACGATACATTGAAATGCCCTCCATGAGTTTCAACGTTAACAGTCCCACTGTGCCCATTTAGAAGTAGCGGAGAGGGTGGGATTGGCGTTGAGGGAAGGGGGGAAAGTGGGGATTGGAGGAGGGGGTTGGGATGTGGGGAATATGGGGTCAGGGTGTGGGGAATGAGGGGTGGAAGAAGATAGTAGGGGGGGTAAAAGGCAACGTGAGAGCTCGATGGGATGAAGAACAGGAGAGGAATTCACGGAGGCAACTGGAGCTACACACACTTACAGGCAGCAACTTACTCATAATTGCCGGGCACGATGGGGGCAGCAACTTGCTCATAATTGCCGGGCACGATGGGGGCAGCAACTTACTTATAATTGCCGGGCACGATGGGGGCAGCAACTTACTCATAATTGCCGGGCACGATGGGGGCAGCAACTTACTCATAATTGCCGGGCACGATGGGGATGCCATGGCTTTTGATTTGAGTCGACTCACAAGGCAGTGAGACTTATACAAGCAGCAACTCACTCATAGTTGCCGGGCACAATGGGGATGACATGGCGCACCGGCCAGACCAGCGAATCCATGATGGCTGAGCGAATCAGATCCTGCAGCAGAGTGTACAGGGTGGGACAGGGAGAACGCAGGGTGCACAGGGAGAGCGCAGGGTGGTGAAGGGAGCGCAGGGTGGGGATGATGGACAGAGAAAGCACTGCGAAACAGAGATAGGTGCTGGTGACGTAACATGGCTCTATCCTTTGTCACAGAGAGACATGACTGACAGAACCTAGCGCCAGCTGCAATCCCCTCAAAAGCAGGGGATTGGTAAAAAATGTGCAACGGCAAGGGAGACAATGCATCAGGCAAGCCCTTTCCCTCCTAGAGATGCCATGCCATGCCATGCCATGCGATGCCATGCCGACTCATCACCGCGCCAACTCACATCCTCATGCCACCATTGCATCGTCCCATCAAATCATCATATCATATCATCCCATCACATCACCGCACCAACTCACATCATCACAGCGACTCGAATCACATCACCACACCACACCGACTCCTGGCGACTCACTCACATCAATGGCATCTCCCAGGCCAGGTACGGCCGCAATGTCACCGCCCGCCACCTTGAGCTTGAACTTCACCTCGGGCTGTCACATGCGTGGGTGGGTGGCATGAGACGCGGAGGGGAGAGTGTATGTGTGTGAAGGAGCGGGGTGGGTGGGTTGGGCTGCGTAGGTGATTTCAGAGTTGACTCAAATCTACCAATCCAGATACGGCAGTCACGTCACCACCCGCCACCTTGAGATTGAACGTCACCTTCCTCGTTGGTGAAAGCGGATGGGGCCAAAGCATGGGATGGTGTTGTGTTGATGAGGCCAAAGCATGGGATGGTGTTGTGTTGATGAGGCCAAAGCATGGGATGGTTTTGTGTTGATGAGGCCAAAGCATGGGATGGTGTTGTGTTGATGAGGCCAAAGCATGGGATGGTGTTGTGTTGATGAGGGGCGTCAGGGCCTTTTTGAGGCGCCCCAACAATCGCCTCAGGAGAATGGAAGCAGGTATGAGCACAGAAGAGGGGGCGCGGTGACGGTGTACGTGTACCTTCTTTGTGAAGGCGAAGACAATGGCGCCGAAGCATGGGATGGTGGGGATGAGGGGCGTGAGTGCCACGCGGAACACTCCCCATATTTGAAGGTTCTTCACCTGGTGGCGAGCAAGGAAGTGCGGGGAATGGGGCGAAGAGGAGAGGAGAGAAAATATGTGTACTGTCACGAAACAGGAGAGGAAAGCACAGGCAGGCAGTTGGTGACGAGAGGGGTGAGGGAGGGCCACACTGGGTTGGGCCACATTGGGGCACTTGGATAAAGCCCCGGTTTCGAGGGTAATTACCTGCACGGGAGAGTGCACTTGCAGCGCGACGCCCACGACGGTCCTGATGGCGAGGATGATAGAGGGGTCGCCCCCCAGCCCTGTTCACCCTCATGCATGGCTGAATGCTCCGCCCGCTATCCTGCCATGGCCACCGCACTCACCCACCCACCTGCACTTGCAGCGCGACGCCCACGACGGTCTTGATGGCGAGGATGATGGAGGGGTCGCCCACCCAGTTGAAGTCCACATGCAGCACCACCTCGTCCGCCCTCGTCTCCACCACGTCTATGCCTGCCGCACAGCACAGCATGGGGAGGGAGGAGGAGCACGTGGAGATGGGTCACAACTCCTGACAGACAGACAGGCAACTCCTGACAAACCAAACCACCATACCCACGCGCTGCTGCACTGCACTGCACGCACCTCCCAGCTGCGGGGCCAGGCGGCCGAGGTTGAACTTGGTGAGCTTGAGCGAGGAGATCATGGGGGGGCGGTAGCTCTCCAGCACTGGGCCTATTTGCATCATCACCGCGCCTGATATGGCCTGCGGGGCCGCGCGGTGCAGCAGGCACACGGGTGAACGGCAGACGGCGGGGACAGTGGTAAAAAGGGGGGGCGGGGGGAGAAGAGTTATCAGGACGCAAAAAGAGTATTCTTTCCGCCAGAAGCGAAAGATGCAATAGACCGGCCTTGAGACAGGGTGGTTAGTGGAAGTGCAGCAGCGTAAAGAAGACGACGGCCTTCCGCCAAGAGCGTTTGAGAGGAACGATCACAGCGCCAAAGAGACACTCATGAGACTCACCTCTCTGAGCTTGGGCCAGAGCTCACGGAGGAAGTAGTTGATCCACTCCACCTGCACGTGGGGAGAGGACGAAAGTGCTCGAAAGCAACTCATTCTAACGTTTTCATTGTCGCTGGAGTCAGTGAAAACGGCGGAGTAGCGCTCGAGGCTTCACTATGCAAGTATTGGTTACATGAAAACAACTTGTCTACATCATACCCGCTCGAACTCCGGGAACTGCACCCAGGTCGGATAGAGCTCTTTGGGTATAAGCTTTCTCAGGTCCTCCTTGTTCACGCACGACATCATCGCGAGATCCACCATCTGCTCAATAACGCGTACGGTATTGAATGAACGTTTAGCACGTGCTAGACGGGAAGGGTAAACTAGGCGCGGAAATGACGAGGAAACAGCAGGGAATGGAAGGCGATCAAAGAAAAAGTGCACCTTGCGAACGCGCTGCGCATGTCTCCTTTTCTGTATGTATTTGATCCCCGCTAGAACGACGATTCCCGTGACGAAGCCGAAGAATATGCTGGGATAGAACCCCATGGCTCGTCGCAGCTAACCCTAATCAGCTTGCGCGGTGAGGAGTGGACAAGCGGTTTAGTGGCACTGGCAACGAATCGAAGTTTTTTCTTATCCGCGGGATGTCGGCAGAACAGCGGTCGGGTGTGGTGAGTGACAGGCTTTAAACATCAATTGCGCTTTTCAACGATCATATTGCTACACCGGTGACGAACACCGAGTCAGAAACAGAGGTTGGTAAATGAGCCAGGCGAGGCACGGGGTAGTAAACTTCTCCAATTGCTGCAACCAGCTTCTTCACAGCTAAGCAAACCGGCTAACCTAGAGAGTACCGCGATCGATCGGAGCTGACATAGTAACGTCAACTACTAGGTCAGCTATGTCTCAAGACTGTACACCGTCGCTACTAATTCGGAGAAAAAACAGGGAGCAACTTGAAGCAAGTAGAAAGTCGCAAAAACAGCACGGATCAGGATTCAGGAACAAGAAGCTCGATGGTCTTGTGAAGGAACGGCCAACCATTGAGCATTGGTGATGTGCGAATATGGTTGGCTGTTGCAAGCTGAACTCCCAGGATTGCCCCGAGAACAGGGACCGAGAGTGAGCGAGGGAGGGAGGGAGCCTTGGGATTTGGGAACTGGATGCTCCTTGCTGGCAGGAGCGCAGCGGGAACTACTTGACCGAGTGTTGTTGCGGTTTGTGAGCTTATCGCACCGAAGTTTTGATTTTTGAGGATGTACACCACAGTGAAACCGGTTCCGTTACAGTATGTGCGCCATTGCGCCAAATGCATATTTTCCCGATTCCTGACTTCCTTCCTTGCTGCCAGGGCTCGTCTCCATCTCTGCCACCCTTTACGGGGGAATGCGGAACCAAGATTCGCCATGTCTTATCTTAGCTAGCCGAATTGACTGGCTCGCCTGACATTAGGCTTTGTTAGCAGCGTTGAGGAGTAGGATCATCCTGTCGGTTTCCACTCCGAAGCGGACAGCAGCATGCGAAGACGTCACTTCGCCCGGGATCACACATGATACATTTTCTAGTCAGGAACCGCATTTAACAGTTTCATTCCGCTTTCAACCGAGCTTCTCGTCGCGACATTAAGCTCCGTTAAGCCATGCCGTCAATCTTCAGCCTGAGCAGCCTCCCCTCCCCCACCGCCGTGCTCTTCCTTATCGTCGGCTTCCAGCTCGGATGGATCTCCACGTCAGTTATCGTGCCAGCGTGGCAGCAACAGCACCGGCAGCAGGGGCCGTGCGTGTCACCTGACGACCCCGGATGCGCCAGAGGAAATACCCTTCCGTTCTTATCCTTCTTCTCCTCTTCTTTTGAAAATTCATTCCTCTCTGGAGCTAGGAGCGGTGAACTCGGCTCTGTTAGCGAAGAGCCTTGTAACGCGTCGCTGGTGCTGTTGAAGCAGCAGCAGGACGCTATTCTGCAATCCCTGCAGGAGCAGGAGGTGGGGATTCAGAGGCTTCAGCAGCTAGTGGCTGCGCGAAACGGCTCCATTGTGAGCGAAATCGGTGCGTGTTACCGCATTTTATTCGTGAATGTCCTTCCGTGGTTTATGTTCAACCAGGCCATGCGTAACACTTTGTCATGCCTCACCTGAGAATTCCCTCTCTTGGGTCATCCCTCACCCGTTGTCCCTTTCAGTGGAACCGGCCTGCGCCAATGACACGATGCCACGTGTAGGCACAATCCACTGGAACCCGAAGCCTCAGAGGTATGGCAACTAGCTATTGGGGCGTGCTGGCCCACAGTGCAACGCTCCTAGTACCTCCTTCCCACTTGCTCCTTCTATCCTGCCCTTCCTGTCTCCTCACTCTCGCCTAACCTCTTCCCTCTCTCCTCCCCTCTCTTCTTCCTCACCTCACCCTCTCCTCACCTTCTCTCCCCCCTTTCCCGTTCCCTCCCTCACCTCCCCCTCGCCCCCTTCCTCCCCCTCTCCCCCGCGCCACTCCCCTCGCCCATGCGCTGAGAGCGCAGGTACCTGATAGCGCTGTGTTCGGGGGGGCAGCTGAGCAACCGCCTGGCGTGTGTGCGGCAGAACATGCTGGACGCGGCGCTCATGAACCGCACGCTCGTCATCCCCACGCAGGGCATCGACTATGACTATGAGGCGCTGCTAGGTGCGTGAGTGAGTGTGCTGCGCCTCAGCGCCTCTGTGCCTGTGGCGGGGGTGTGCGGCGCTCATGAACCGCACACTCGTCATCCCCACGCAGGGCATTGACTACGACTACGAGGCGCCGCTAGGTGAGTGCGTGTGGCACTGCTAGTGTGCCTGTGCGTCTGTGTCTCTGTAGGGCTGAGAACTTGCTTGTTACTCGATTTGGGGAGTGTTGGTTGTGGCTCTCGGGGACCCGCACGCTCGTCATCCCCACGCAGCTCATCAGCCTACAACAATCAATCCACTTCATCCGAATTCCCACAAGGTCGATACAGTCCTCCTGCCATCCCGTGTGCCCCATCAGACCTGGGGGCATTCGACGAGTGCATGGGCCCTGGGCGCGTCATCACCTTCTCAGCCTACAACGCCTCAGTCCGAGGCCGCGTGCGAGTGGGCCGCTACATCTGCCACGTGCACGTGTACCAGACCGACCAGGCCTGCGACTCTCTCCGCCTCTCCTACGAGGCGCGCCTGCACGCGTCCTTTGCCAAGCATGAGATCGCCCGCAAGAGAACACCCAGCCCCTGGTTCAAATACCCCACCGCGGAGTTTCTCAGAAAGTTCCACGGGGACCACCACGTGATTGCGTTTGCGAATATGTTTGGCGTGGGCGGGAGGGAGCTGAGGTTCCATGGGAGAGCGCCGCTGGTGGTGCGCCCGGAGTGCCGCGGGCTGCTGCAGCCCAGCCGCGCGATCCAGGAGGCGGCGGTGGGGTTTATCAACACGTTTCTTGGCTCGCGCTTCATTGCCATTCACCTGCGCAGGTACAGCTTCAGGCAGTGACCGTGTTCTGACTGTGTGCGTGGTGCATACCTTCGTGTCAGCCTTCGTGTCATTACATATCTGAGGGCCAGGACCTGCGTTTTCATTTACGCTTCTATTGCTTTCATGTGCACTGCCTAATGCCAGCGCCCTCGCCTCCACCTTTTCAAGGGCTGACACTACCATTATGTCGTTCCCTCTCGATCTCACTCCCCCCCTCCCCTTTTTTCCCAGGGGCGACTTCTTCCATCACTGCATTCACGGCGACGGCAGTCGCAGGGCGGTGCCGTGCTTCCACCCCATCCACCAGCTCACACTCTCTTTTCATCAAGTTCTCAAACCCCTTCTCCCGTACCCCTCAACCTCACTTCTTCACACTGGCTCGTGCCTGCCCACGCCTACCCCTCCCCTCTCTCCTCCTCCCAGAGGCGACTTCTTCCACCACTGCATACACGGGGACGGCAGTCGCAGGGCGGTGCCGTGCTTCCACCCCATCCACCAGCTCGCGCGCTGCCTGCACTCGCGCCTGCAGGCGCTGCCCGGCTCTGCCATGGTCTTTGTGGCCAGCAATGCCGGGCAGGAGGAGATGCGCGCCCTGTCAGAGACACTGGCCACGCTCGTGAGTGGGGAGGGGTAGAGACATGGTGGTAGGAGTGGGTGGGGGACCAGAGGGAAAGGGAGAACGAGCAAGGTTGTCGCTCCTCCTCGCGCCTGCAGGAGCCGCAATTGTGTTTGTGGCGAGCAATGCGAGGGAGGAGGAGATGTTGGCACTGTCAGAGGCACTGTCAGAGGCACTGGCAATGAGTAGTGGGGGTGAGGAGTGAGGGGATGGGGGAGGTGGGGGTTGGATTGGCCAAGAGATCAGAGGGAGAGGGAGAGAATTGCGGGGAGGAGCAGATGTGGGAGCTGTCAGAGACACTAGCAATGCTTGCGAGTGGAACGATAGAGAGCCTTTTCCAGCTCTATCACAAATGCCTTCTCCTTCCCATTCTTGATTCTCGTCTCTCTCACCTGCTTCCTCGATCTCGGCCTTCTGCTGGCTTGCACCCGCACCTGGCCGCTCCCTTTCCACTGCTCCTGCTTCCCCTCAGGGTTCTCCTCATTCGTTCGTGTCTTTGACACCAAGCCTCAAGGGCCAGGCTTGGGCCGAGCCTCTACTCAGCCTGGGTCTGGAGAGCAACAGGGAGGTGGTGTCGTTTCTGGATAAGACCATCTGTGCGCTCGCGCTCAAGTTCTATGGCACGTCAGGCTCCACGTATTCCCATGACATCATGCGGTGAGACACGTTGCAATTGGCTCCCCTGATAAGTTGGTGTGATGTGATCTGTTGTGGTGTGCGTTCATATGGTTAGATGCGTTCTTCTCAAGTGTGATTTTACTGCTCCATGCGATGTGCACGTTCGTGTTATATTGCGATGCGTGCTTATGCTGTCACCATTTTCTTTGGCAGGTTGCGGGAATGGTGGCGAGATGACCACTGTGAAATGTACATCTGCCCAGAGACGCTGCCCTCCGAGATTTCTCACATGCACCCCAACCTCGCTAAGAGATTGCAGCCTCCACCTCAGGAGGCTGCAAACAAATTGAATGTTTCTGTAAAGGGGACAAGGGACAGGAATACAACGTCGTAACTGTAAGGTTGGGTGCTGGACCCTAGACAAATCAATGCCTGAAAGGTATATATCAGTTGATGTTTCCCTAAGAAGAGCGCCTAGTTGAAAGCGGGATTCACCTGACAAATACTGGTATACTGTATTGCGTATATTGTTGGTCCTAACCTTGTATCGCATCGCATTCCAATGACCTTGAGAACATACAGTATATAAGGACCGCAAACTGTACGTATCTCCAACGCCGGCAACACCCCCGTCAACGTCTCTTGTCCGCTCTGAGAAGTTATTAAACCAAGAATCAAGGAGCCTTATCTAGTCTAGACCCACAACCAAACAACACACTTGTAAGTTCGCCTTAGCAATGCTCACCTACGCTTGGATTCTAATTCGGTTGCTCGTTTCCAGGCGCATGAACCTCTTACGCTTTGCATTGCCATGCGCGCTGATCGGACGGTCCTCGGCGTGCGTCTAGTTCATCTAGCCGCTTCTGCGACTGTCTGAGCGAGTCCAAAGCGACCTTTGAGTCGCCTCGAAGGTCTTACGCGTGCCCGGACTTAGAGGTTCGAAGCCAGAGTTATCGTGATTGTCAGAAATCACGTCTGTCGTGACGTAACGATTGAATTCACATCTAGCCTGAAACGTCTCGCAATCTTCATTCCCATGTTTCACACCATCCTCACTCCTCCGTACCGCAAATGACCGTTGCCCCGCTGACTGCAAATGGTGGCGTCAGAGTCGGGCGAGTACGAGTACGAGCCGTGGGCCGAGGAGCGCCGCGAGCGAATCCGACGGCGAGAGGCCATTCTCGATGCCGTGCCCATCACCCCCTCCTCCGCATCCGCCGCTAAGCAATCTCCACGCGCATTGGCCGCCGCAAGAGCCGGCGCTGGCGGACTGACGGGCGCGAGCGGCGCGGCGGAGGAGCTTAGCTCGCCGTCGAAGACCAAGGAGGGGAAGGAGGGGAAGGGCGCGGAGAGGCGAGACACGTGGGGGGACGACAGCGGCGTTGCGCGGTCGATCGCTCGCCCAATGACGTTCCTGCGTAGTGTGGTGCGCGCGGGGGGGAGGGGGGTTGACTGGAGGGTGGCCGTGTGATTGTATGGGTGTTTGAGTGTGGCCTGGCATTTGCTGCCTGATGTGACAATATGTGGGGGGGGGAGGGGATGGGGGAGGAAAGATGGGGGAAAGGGAAATGTGGTGCCTGATATGACAATCTCGGGGGTTCTGCAAGTCTGAGTTGTCGTTTCTATCTTTCTCAATGCCTCCCATGTCTCCTCTCATGCCTCCTCCCATGTGTGCCCCCATGTGTGCACCCCCACGCCAGGCGCGGTTCTACTGCACCATCTTCCTCCTCTTCCTCCTCCTCACCGCCTGCCAGGTGCGCCTCTTGCTATTCCCATGATTCCAGTATTTTCCACCATGCCTTGTCAACACCACCCCTTCTCCTGCCCCATTCTCCTCAATCCCCCCCTCCCCTCCGCCTTCCCTCACCCAAACCCCTCCTCCCACAACGTCCCTTTTCACCCCACCTTGCTGTGTGCACCGCGCTGCTGCGCAGGTGTATGTCATGTGGACGGAGGAGCTGGGGGCGCTGGAGGTGTCCTCTACAGGCCTCTCGTCGCTGCTCAACACGGTGAGGAGGGAGGGAAGAGGTGTGTGCGTACAAGGGCGGGAGGGTGGGGTGCAAGTGGGGATGAAGGAAAGGGGGGGTGAGGAAGGGGATGGGGGGCCGACGAGAGGCGGTGGTACAAGACGACAAGGGAGTTACAGTTTTGCAAGGGTACGGGCTCAAGGCAAGGGTACGGGCTCAAGGCAAGGGTACGGGCTCAAGGCAAGGGTACGGGCTCAAGGCAAGGGTACGGGCTCAAGGCAAGGGTACGGGCTCAAGGCAAGGGTACGGGCTCAAGGCAAGGGTACGGGCTCAAGGCAAGGGTACGGGCTCAAGGCAAGGGTACGGGCTGAAGGCAAGGGTACGGGCTGAAGGCAAGGGTACGGGCTCAAGGCAAGGGTACGGGCTCAAGGCAAGGGTACGGGCTCAAGGCAAGGGTACGGGCTCAAGGCAAGGTGAAACGGACTGTACAGTCATCATCAGTTTGCTTCTCCATCCCTCACTCCCTCTCTTACTCCCTTCCTTTGAGTCGACTTAAAAAGCAGACTCTTACTCCCTTCCCCGCGCGCCCCTTGTGGTGTCGTGCTCCCCTCGCTCCCTTCCCCGCGCTCCCCGTGTGGTGTGCGCAGAGCAAGCCAGCGAAGCTCACGCGGCGAGTCGTGCTCTCCACCATGGCGCGAGACATCATGGACCTGCAAGGTGGGCTTTAACGTGCTGTGTGCCTGTGCGGGGGGCTTTAAGATGGTATGAGCCTGCAATGTGGGCATTGAGGTGTGCTAGAGGTGGCGAGTCGTGCTCTCCACCATGGCGCGAGACATCATGGACCTGCAAGGTGGGCTTTAAGCTGCCATGAACCCAGCTCAGCATGTAACGTGCAAAAGCTGAGCATGTCCGCATGATGGCCTGCCATCTCCATGTGCCACCAGCCCTTCCATTCCCAATCCGACTCCACCCACAAATTTATCTGCCTCCCTCTGCTCCTCTGCTCCTGTCCTCTCCTGCACTCATCTCCCACCCTTCTATCCTCCCCTCTCTCCTCTTCGCCCACCCTCCTCTCCCTTCCTCCCCTCTCTCCTCTTCGCCCACCCTCCTCTCCTTTCCTCCCCTGTCTCCTCTTCGCCTACCCTCCTCTCCCGTCCCTCACCACCCGCCCAGCCTCCCTCACGGCCAGCATGGCACAGCTACAGCAGCAGCAGGCAGCACTAGGCACTGAAAGAGCCAGTCCCTTCTGGTTCAACTCAAAGGTCACACCTCTCCTCCTCTTCCCCCTCTCTCTCCCCCTCTTCCCCCCCCCAGCGTCCCTCACGGCCAGCATGGCACAGCTACAGCAGCAGCAGGCAGCACTGACCAATCAGACAGCCCAGTCGCTGCAGGCGCTGGAAGCGCGGGTGACAGGTGGCAGCAGGCGATTGGTGGACTTCACGCGGGCCATGGGGGAGAAGCAGGCGGGGGAGGTGCAGGGCGTGCGCGCGCGCGTGGAGGAGATGGGGCGCGCGCTGGCCAAGCAGGGGGAGATGCTGGCCGAGCAGATGGCTGCTGTCACTGCGCTCAAGGTGGGTGGGGTGGGGTGGGGTGGGGTGGGGTGGGGTGGTATGGCATGACGCTCGCTGCCTTCGAGGTGAGTCGGAGGAGATAGGGCGCGCGCTGGCCAAGCAGGGGGAGATGCTGGCCAAGCAGATGGCTGCTGTCACTGCCCTCAAGGTCGGTGGGGCGGGGGTGAGATGAGGCGGGGTGGGGTGGGGTGGATGACCGCCCTCACCCTTTCTGCCCTCTGTTCCTATTACTGCACAGCACCCCTGTTACCGCACTGCACCACCTGTTACCACACAGCGCAAACCCACATTCCCCTCAGGCGGATCTGGAGATGCACAAGGCAGCGGCCACCCCCCCCAGCAACCACACGCTCTATTACATCACAGACGACCACCCTGACCTCTGCTCCTCCTTTCCCTACAACTGCGCCCCCCCCACTGCACCCCCTGTTACTGCTGTGCACCCCGTGTTACCGCACTGCATCTCATTCCCACCAGGCGGATCTGGAGATGCGCAAGGCGGCGGCCACCCCCCCCAGCAACCATTCCCTGTACTACATCACGGACGACCTCCCTGACCTTTTTTCCCCTTCCATCTTGCTGCATCCCCTCCCTCTGCACCCCCTGTTACCGCACTGCACCCAGGCGGATCTGGAGATGCGCAAGGCAGCGGCCACCCCTCCCAGCAACTACACGCTGTACTACATCACGAACGACCACCCTGACCTCTGGCGCCAACGCTCCTTCCGCCGCTACGCCTCCTACGGCTTCGTCAAGTTCAGGTGAATTGCCAATAGCCCAACCGCCTAATAGCCCAACCGCCTAATAGCCCAACCGCCTAATAGCCCAACCGCCTAATAGCCCAACCGCCTAATAGCCCAACCGCCTAATAGCCCAACCGCCTAATAGCCCAACCGCCTAATAGCCCAACCGCCTAATAGCCCAACCGCCTAATAGCCCAACCGCCTAATAGCCCAACCGCCTAATAGCCCAACCGCCTAATAGCCCAACCGCCTAATAGCCCAACCGCCTAATAGCCCAACCGCCTAATAGCCCAACCGCCTAATAGCCCAACCGCCTAATAGCCCAACCGCCTAATAGCCCAACCGCCTAATAGCCCAACCGCCTAATCCCAACCGCCTAATAGCCCAACCGCCTAATAGCCCAACCGCCTAATAGCCCAACCGCCTAATAGCCCAACCGCCTAATAGCCCAACCGCCTAATAGCCCAACCGCCTAATAGCCCAACCGCCTAATAGCCCAACCGCCTAATAGCCCAACCGCCTAATAGCCCAACCGCCTAATAGCCCAACCGCCTAATAGCCCAACCGCCTAATAGCCCAACCACCTAATAGCCCAACCGCCTAATAGCCCAACCGCCTAATAGCCCAACCGCCTAATAGCCCAATAGCCTAATAGCCCAATAGCCTAATAGCCTAATAGCCCAATAGCCTAATAGCCCAACCGCCTAATAACCCAAAAGCTTAATAACCCAACCGCCTAATCGCCCAATAGCCTAATAGCCCAACCGCCTAATAACCCAATAGCCTTATAGCCCAACCGCCTAATAGCCCAATAGCCTATTAGCCCAACCGCTCAATAGCCCAAGCCTAATAGCCTAATAGCCCAACCGCCTAATAGCCCAATAGCCTAATAGCCCAACCGCCTAATAGCCCAATAGCCTAATAGCCCAACCGCCTAATAGCACAATAGCCTAATAGCCCAACCTCCTAATAGCCTAATAGCCCAACCGCCTGATAGCCCAATAGCCTAATAGCTTAATAGCCCAACTGCCTAATCGCCTAATAGCCTAATAGCCCAACCGCCTAATAGCCCAATAGCCTAATAGCCCAACCTCCTAATAGCCCAATTGCCTAATAACCTAATAGCCCAACCGCCCCATCAGGTTCCCCATCAGGTTCCCCACCCCATCAGGTTCCCCGTCAGGTTCCCCATCAGGTTCCCCATCAGGTTCCCCATCAGGTTCCCCATCAGGTTCTTCATCAGGTTCCCCATCAGGTTCCCCACCCCATCAGGTTCCCCATCAGTTTCCCCATCAGTGTCCCCATCAGGTTCCCCATCAGGTTCCCCATCAGGTTCCCCACCCCATCAGGTTCCCCATCAGGTTCCCCATCAGGTTCCCCATCAGGTTCCCCACCCCATCAGGTTCCCCATCAGTTTCCCCACCCCATCAGGTTCCCCATCAGGTTCCCCATCAGGTTTCCCATCAGGTTACCATCAGGTTCCCCATCAGGTTCCCCATCAGGTTCCTCATCAGGTTCCCCATCAGGTTCCCCATCAGGTTCCCCATCAGGTTCCCCATCAGGTTCTCCATCAAGTTCCCCATCAGGTTCCCCATCAGGTTCCCCATCAGGTTCCCCATCAGGTTCCCCATTCGGTTCCCCATCAGGTTCCCCATCAGGTTCCCCACCCCATCAGGTTCCCCATCAGGTTCCCCATCAGGTTTCCCATCAGGTTCCCCATCAGGTTTCCCATCAGGTTCCCCATCAGGTTCCCCATCAGGTTCCCCATCAGGTTCCCCATCAGTTTCCCCACCCCATCAGGTTCCCCATCAGGTTCCCCACCCCATCAGGTTCCCCACCCCATCAGGTTCCCCATCAGGTTCCCCATCAGGTTCCCCATCAGGTTCCCCACCCCATCAGGTTCCCCATCAGGTTCCCCATCAGTTTCCCCACCCCATCAGGTTCCCCACCCCATCAGGTTCCCCATCAGGTTCCCCATCAGGTTCCTCATCAGGTTCCCCATCAGGTTCCCCATCAGGTTCCCCATCAGGTTCCCCATCAGGTTCTCCATCAGTTTCCCCATCAGGTTCCCCATCAGGTTCCCCATCAGGTTCCCCATCAGGTTCTCCATCAGGTTCCCCATCAGGTTCCCCATCAGGTTCCCCATCAGGTTCCCCATCAGGTTCCCCATCAGGTTCCCCATCAGGTTCCCCATCAGGTTCCCCATCAGGTTCCCCATCAGGTTCTCCATCAGGTTCCCCACTCCATCAGGTTCCCCATCAGGTTCCCCATCAGGTTCTCCATCAGGTACCCCACTCCATCAGGTTCCCCAGCAGGTTCCCCATCAGGTTCCCCGTCAGCTTCCCCGTCAGGTTCCCCCTCAGGTTCCCCATCAGGTTCTCCATCAGGTTCCCCACTCCATCAGGTTCCCCAGCAGGTTCCCCATCATGTTCCCCATCAGGTTCCCCATCAGGTTCCCCATCAGGTTCCCCACCCCATCAGGTTCCCCATCAGTTTCCCCATCAGGATCCCCATCAGGTTTCCATCAGGTACCATCAGGTTCCCCGTCAGGTTCCCCGTCAGGTTCCCCGTCAGGTTCCCCGTCAGGTTCCCCGTCAGGTTCCCCGTCAGGTTCCCCGTCAGGTTCCCCGTCAGGTTCCCCGTCAGGTTCCCCGTCAGGTTCCCCGTCAGGTTCCCCGTCAGGTTCCCCGTCAGCTTCCCCGTCAGCTTCCCCGTCAGCTTCCCCGTCAGCTTCCCCGTCAGCTTCCCCGTCAGCTTCCCCGTCAGCTTCCCCGTCAGCTTCCCCGTCAGCTTCCCCGTCAGCTTCCCCGTCAGCTTCCCCGTCAGCTTCCCCGTCAGCTTCCCCGTCAGCTTCCCCGTCAGCTTCCCCGTCAGCTTCCCCGTCAGCTTCCCCGTCAGCTTCCCCGTCAGCTTCCCCGTCAGCTTCCCCGTCAGCTTCCCCGTCAGCTTCCCCGTCAGCTTCCCCGTCAGCTTCCCCGTCAGCTTCCCCGTCAGCTTCCCCGTCAGCTTCCCCGTCAGCTTCCCCGTCAGCTTCCCCGTCAGCTTCCCCGTCAGGTTCCCCGTCAGGTTCCCCGTCAGGTTCCCCGTCAGGTTCCCCGTCAGGTTCCCCGTCAGGTTCCCGGTCAGTTTCCCCGTCAGGTTCCCCGTCAGGTTCCCCGTCAGGTTCCCCGTCAGGTTCCCCGTCAGGTTCCCCGTGAGGTTCCCCGTGAGGTTCTCCGTGAGGTTCCCCGTGAGGTTCCCCGTGAGGTTCCCCGTGAGGTTCCCCGTGAGGTTCCCCGTCAGGTTCCCCGTCAGGTTCCCCGTCAGGTTCCCCGTGAGGTTCCCCGTGAGGTTCCCCGTGAGGTTCCCCGTGAGGTTCCCCGTGAGGTTCCCCGTGAGGTTCCCCGTGAGGTTCCCCGTGAGGTTCCCCGTGAGGTTCCGCGTGAGGTTCCCCGTGAGGTTCCCCGTGAGGTTCCCCGTGAGGTTCCCCGTGAGGTTCCCCGTGAGGTTCCCCGTGAGGTTCCCCGTGAGGTTCCCCGTGAGGTTCCCCGTGAGGTTCCCCGTGAGGTTCCCCGTGAGGTTCCCCGTGAGGTTCCCCGTGAGGTTCCCCGTGAGGTTCCCCGTGAGGTTCCCCGTGAGGTTCCCCGTGAGGTTCCCCGTGAGGTTCCCCGTGAGGTTCCCCGTGAGGTTCCCCGTGAGGTTCCCCGTGAGGTTCCCCGTGAGGTTCCCCGTGAGGTTCCCCGTGAGGTTCCCCGTGAGGTTCCCCGTGAGGTTCCCCGTGAGGTTCCCCGTGAGGTTCCCCGTGAGGTTCCCCGTGAGGTTCCCCGTGAGGTTCCCCGTGAGGTTCCCCGTGAGGTTCCCCGTGAGGTTCCCCGTGAGGTTCCCCGTGAGGTTCCCCGTGAGGTTCCCCGTGAGGTTCCCCGTGAGGTTCCCCGTGAGGTTCCCCGTGAGGTTCCCCGTGAGGTTCCCCGTGAGGTTCCCCGTGAGGTTCCCCGTGAGGTTCCCCGTGAGGTTCCCCGTGAGGTTCCCCGTGAGGTTCCCCGTGAGGTTCCCCGTGAGGTTCCCCGTGAGGTTCCCCGTGAGGTTCCCCGTGAGGTTCCCCGTGAGGTTTCCCCCATCAGCCTAAAAGCCTTTTAGCCTAACAGCCTTACAGCTTAGCAGCCTAACAGCCTAACACCCTACTAGAGATGAGCATATGCCCCGCGCGGGTCGGGCTGGCCCGACCCGACCCGTGGTTTAGCCCGGGCGGGGTCAGTGGATTCATTTGCCTGGCCCGTGCGGGCTGATCCGACCCGACCCGGGCTAAAACCCGACCCGAGCACACCATGAGAATTGAACTCGGGCCGAGTCGGGTCGGGTTTTGGGTCAGGCTTGACCCGACCCAAATTCGGGTCAGGACCAGGGAAATCGGGTCAGGCTTTTGGCCCGACCCGATTTTGACTCTGCAGTGTACGAAACCCTAAACAAATTTGATGTCGAGGGGATTTTTTACCCTCGACATCAGAACCTTCCCACGCGCCTTGGCGCCAGAGTTCCCCTTCTCTGTGTTTTTTAACCCCCTCCTCTGTGTTTCCCCCCTTCTTTCCCCTTTCCTTCATTCCCCCTTTCCCCCTCCCAGCGCCTACCGCGTGTCCCCATCGCGCATAGCCATCCTGGGCCTGTCAGCCCTGGCGCTGCACGGAGTGCACCGGCTGTCGCTGTGCGAGTGGCACGGCGTGGATGGGTCCGTCATACCGGGGGTGCTGGAGATGATCTATGTGGGCGAACACCATAACTTCCTGGTGAGAGCTGTCAACACCACCACCACTACTTCCTGCTACAGGCGCTGCACCACAGTGTGTCCTGCGAGTGAGATAGGTGTGTTTTTTTCAGGTGTCATTTGAGATGTGTTACATAGAAAGAGTACGTATTTCAATCTGTCTTATACCTAAGTAGATACAATATATTTAGGTAGTGTTTCCTGCTTCTGCTCAACCCCCCCATTCCCCGTGCAGTACGAGACAGTGGTGGTCAACTGCCAGCTGGAATCACCTGTGCAATCACCTGGAGGCTACCTGAAGGCGCGCATCAACTCGGAGATCCTCTACCCCTTCAGAGAATCCAAGTCTGAGGTACATGCGGGGGCATGCATGGCGTGTGGGCAGGAGGGGGTGTGGGCAGGAGGGGGTGCGAGCAGGAATGAGGAACAGCCGTGCAGTGTACACGCTGTCATTCTGTGCTAACATGTGGCTTCCCCCTTCTTCCTCCCACCCACCCACCCCCCTTCCAGTCCATTACCACCCCCACGGCCCCCTTCAAGCACCGGCTGCTCTTCTATGGGCCGCCCATGTACGGCACCATGGAGCCACGCGTGCTCTTAGAGTGGCTCGACTACCACTGCATGTACACCACTGCTTACCATTTCATTCTCTTCCTTTCCCAACCCTCCCCTCCCTGTCCCCCAGCCCATTGCCCCCCCCACGGCCCCCTTCAAGCACCGCTGCTCTTCTGTGGGCCGCCCATGTACGGCACCATGGAGCCTCGGGTGCTGCTCGAGTGGCTCGAATACCACCCATCTCCCCATTCTCCTCACACACCCATCTACCCCCTCCTTCCTCCCACCCACCCACCTCCCCCAGCCCATCACGCTCCCCACGGCCCCCTTCAAGCACCGGCTGCTCTTCTGTGGGCCGCCCATGTACGGTGCCATGGAGCCTCGTGTGCTGCTCGAGTGGCTGGACTACCACCGCGTGTACGCCGCAGCCGACCACTTCATTCTCTACGATGCGGGCGCCGTGGGCGTGGCGGTGCGGCACACGCTGCAGGGGTACCTGGCGGGGGGCGTGGTTGAAATCACCGACTTTCGCGAGGCGCAGCAGTGGGACACGTGGCTGTATGGGCAGGTGAGCTGTCTGATTGCGTCCAGGGATGATTCACACCTGAGCGTGCAGCTCTGCTCATCCAGGTGTCACATGTCGTGGGGGGTGTGGCAGTGCGGCGGCTGCTGGAGGGATAGGGTATGTGGGGCGGGGAGGGGGGGTTGTGGAGATCACCGATCACTGCTCACGGCAGCAGTGGGTTACCCATCCTGTTTTCAAACCTCCCACAGTCAGCAGTAAGGTGAGTCTCCTTCCAGTCCAGCCTAGCTCTTCCTTTCATGTTGCCCTCTACACTCTTGCTGCATTACCTCCTCCCCTCTCCCTCTTCCCTCTCCTCTTCCCACATCCCCACCCGCCCCACACCACCAGTCACTGGCCATTCAGGACTGCATGTATCGATCGCGCCGCACAGCCCAGTGGGTGTTCATGCAGGATTTTGACGAGTTCCTGGAGCTGCTGCCGCCCCTCACAATGCCGGCTCTCCTGGACAAGTACCACGACCGCCCCTGGATCACCTACGGCTGCACCGTCTTCAACATGTCCTTCTGTGTCGATACCCCCCGCGACGCCTCCTCCGCTGCCTCGAATCCCAACCGCCGAAGCGGGGACCTTCGCGGCGCCGCCGCTAGTGGTGGGCGGAGGGTGCATATGGAGGGGCTGCTTATAGAGAGGATGCATTTCCGGTGGCCGCACGTGTACTGTATGGACACGCAGAAATACCGCCCAGAGCACTGTCTAGACCAGGAGGGGCACCGGAAATACATCCTCAACCCGCGCAAAGTGCAGGCCGCTCAGATCCACATCGTCGTCAAAACAGAGGACGGCGGGGGAGGCACGGCGGCCGGCGGAGGGGAGGGCTCGGGGGAGGGAGCAGGGGAGGGCGTGGGGGAGGGCGTGGGGGAGGGAGTGGATATGGATACGGATGACATGCGGCTGGCGCATTACAGGGGCCTGGCCACCAAGGGGTCGAGGATGTGTGAGCTGGGGGAGCCCAAGGACTGGTGGATGCGGTACGATCGGGTTGGGAGGATTGCCGCGGCCGTGTGGAACTGCCCTCTCGTCGCCAGTAACCGCCAGGTGGGGGAGTCTGGAGCAAGGTTGGAGGGCAGGGGGTGTTGTGGGGCGTGATGGTGGGGGACTGACTGACAGAGGATGGGGTGGGGGACTGACAGAGGATGAATGAAAGGAAGTAGGGGTAAGTGGAGATGGCAGGAAACTGGAGATTCTTGGCCATTTTGTTTCCCTGCCCGACATGTGATTTTATCTGGTGAATTGTAACACAGACAGTCGTACATTTCATCCCTTATCTATTTTTCGATTCTGCCCTTCACTGCCCCTCTCTTCCTCACTTGTCTCCCTTTCCGACCACTCTCGACCCATCTCGTCGTCTCTGCCTCTCATTTTGCCCCTCACTGCACCCATTGTGCCGTGCAGGCATGCACACCGAGTGGCATCGCCACAACTCTTGCAGCTACAGCTGACTCCACTCGCACGCAGTGACCTGCGAAACTCTGCTTTTAGGATCAACAAGGTGGAATGATTTCAACCCCTTCGAATTGCAACTTGCAAGTCTATTGCGAGTAAGAGGATACTACGATAGAATGAAAAGGCTCTTGCATACCGATGCCATGAAGCACAACACGTTCTCTCCACGGAAAGGCACACCACACCAGTAATGTGGTATTGGTATGTGAAGGCAAAGAACACCAAGGTACGAGAGCTTCATTCCTGCCAGGCCATGGCAGGCACTGTGTCACAACTTGGGCATTTGAATTGCACTACCCTTCAGCCTGCGTTAGAGTTGGGCATGTGCGTGCGAATGTTTAGAACAGCATGCTCACATTTCTAATTACCGAACAATCTCATTTTTGTATCTGCACATCTGGTCTGGACAAGTCTGTCTACACAACCTCCTTCATACAGTACAGTGGCTTTTAGGAAGATCCATAACAGAAGAACCAATCCTTTTCCTCCTCTCCTTTTCCTACTAGGACCACCAAGATCACTGCTCCTATGACATCCTTCAGCAATTCTCAGGGCCTAGAACCCGCCCACCAAGCTCAGTGTTACCGTACTTCGGGAAGAGGCTTCCCTCAATGCCCATTTGACATTCCCGCCCATCTGCCCCACCTTGCACGTAAATCCCATCACCACTTTCGGGGCACCTCAAAAGCCAAGCTCAGTGGTGCTCCTTGGGCGACAGGCTTCCCTCAATGCCCGACTTCACATTCCTGCCGATTTGCCCCACCTTGCTCATAAACCCCATCGCCCCACTCCTCCTCTTGGGCTTCCCATCAGGGCCCGGCGACAGCGCAGGGGAGAGAGGAGCCTCCCCTTCCGCCTCTGCTGCTGCTGCGGAGGCGGCTGCTGCGGCTGAGTCTGCTGCCTCTTGGTCCAAGGACACTTGCAGGGCCCCCTCCCTATCCCGGTGCTTCAAGTCACCCATGGATCGCGCAAGGCTGGGCATAGCACGCGGCGCTGGTGCTGCTGCTGCTGCTTCTGCCGCCACTGCAGCATCAGCATCAGCATCCGAAACAGCAGCAGCAGGGGCGCCAGGAGCAACGGAGACAGGCAAAGCATCATCAGCCGCATCAGAGCTGCTGCTCGTCTGGGACTGCTCCACCACCTTGGTAGACTTCTGCCCCACCTCAGACGTGCGCCGCGCCATGGATGCTCGCGGGGTTCTGGGGGTCATGAGGGTGCGTTCAGCCGCCTCGCGCACGCGGCGCTCGGAGTCGGCAGCAGCGGCAGCCATGGCGGCGGTGGCCTGGTCGGCCGGCACGCTGTGGTCCTTTATGCGCGGCTCACGTGCCTTCTCTGCCGCGGTCACGCTGTCCCTCTCCTCGTCTGAGTAATCACGATACGCCAGCTGCACGGGCGGTGTGAGGGGGAAAAGGACGAAAGGAGAGGCAATTGAAAATCGTCACAATATTTTCTGCCTCCCGACACGCTCCCCCTCTCCTCATCTGATTACTCGCAGTATGCCAGCTGCGTGGATGGTGCGAGGCAATAGTTGCAGGTACCCCTAGGAGCTCAAGGCAAAGAGGAAACGGTCCTCACTGATCCATCCCCCCACACCACAGCCCCCCCTGTCTCGCTCACCAGCAGCGTGATGCGGCCCAGCTTGTGGTCCTTGCCCAGCAGCTTGTGGTCGTGCAGGCGGGGCAGGGGTGGCAGGCAATAGGTGCAGCCACAGCAGCCCTTAGGAGCTCAAGACAGCACAGTAACTGCCCTCTAATCCATTCCCCCCCCCACACCACAGCTCCCACGCTCACCAGCAGAGTGATGCGGCCGATCTTGTGATCCTTGCCCAGCAGCTTGTCGTCGTGCAACTTTGAAACGCCTCAGCTTTGAAACGCCTCAGCTTTGAAACGCCTCAGCTTTGAAACGCCTCAGCTTTGAAACGCCTCAGCTTTGAAACGCCTCAGCTTTGAAACGCCTCAGCTTTGAAACGCCTCAGCTTTGAAACGCCTCAGCTTTGAAACGCCTCAGCTTTGAAACGCCTCAGCTTTGAAACGCCTCAGCTTTGAAACGCCTCACACCTCCCTCTCTCCCTCCCTCACCCCTCCCTTCCCTCCTTTCCACCCCCCCCCCCCCCCTGTCTCATTCACCTGCAGTGTGACACGCCCCCCCACCCCTGTCTCACCAGCAGCGTGATGGGGCCGAGCTTGTGGTCCTGGCTCAGCAGCTTGCCATCGTGCAGGCGCGGCAGGGGAGGCAGGGGAGGAAGGCAACAGGTGCAGGTACAGCAGCCCCTAGGTAGGAGATGGAGGCAAAGAGGAAACGGTCCTCACCGGTCCAGCCCCCCCACGCTCACCAGCAGAGTGATGCGGCCGAGCTTGTGATCCTTGCCCAGCAGCTTGTCGTCGTGCAGGCGGGGCAGCAGGTCAAGGGTGACCTGGTACGGCTCGCTCTTGTCCATCAGATCCGCCAGGGGGAACAGCGCCCACCCCAGATCCGAGTCCTGCATCACATCATCGTCCTCCACCTTGATGGTGAGCTCCGCGGTGTGCGGGTCATCCACGGGCAGCAGGAACGTCTCGTTCCATTGGGGGTTGAGGTTGTTCTTGCACACGCCCGTCTTGGCCATGTGCTTGGGGTTGAGCCAGATGGTGGTGTACGGGTCCGACTTGCCCAGCGTGTCCACGTTCTTCACTCCCTCTGCGCGCACCACCGTCACCACCAGCTCGCCCTCATACTTCATCTCCAGCAACCTGAGGCCATGCAGGAGAGTGGAGGGGGAACAGGAGCGCCAAGAGATAATGGGGAAGCGAGAGAGAAGAAGAACAGGCAATAAGCGTAGATTTCTTCAACTCCCTCTGCTCGCATCACGTGCACCACCTGGCACCAGCTCGCCCTCATGCTTCATCCCCAGCAACCTGCCGCAACACTGGCGGGAGGAAGTGGGGGACGGGCGTGTGAAAGTACTGATGAGGCTAGGAGGAGGGGCTCTTGAAACAAGGGCGTCGTTTTTTTTTTTTTTTTTTTTTTTTTTTTTTTTTTTTCAGAGAGCCTGCTGGCAGCACGTGCAGCAGCAGCGTGCCTGGGCACGGCACACACAGCAGCAGTGTATGAGACACTGTGGCACACGAGAGTTACTGCAGAGGTTACAAGATGGCGTGTGTGAGAGGGTGTGTTCGAGAGCATGTGAGAGGATGTGTGAGAGTGTGTAAGGTGTGTGTGAGAGGATACGAGAGGGTGTGTGAGGGTATGAGTGGGAGGGTATGTGTGAGAAGGTATGAGAGGGTGTGTGTGGGCGGGTATGAGTGAGTGGGAGTGAGGCTGATCTGACTCACTTCTCGTCAAAGGCCGGGTTGAGCTTGACAACAATGCGCTCAGGCCACAATATGACCGACTCCAGCACCGATGCCACCGTGTTCTGGTGAAGCACGGTGGGATGCGGTGCAGTGGGGTGGGAAAGGAGGTAGGGAGGTGAGGGGAAGAGAGAAATGATGTGGTGAGAAGATGCGAGGGATTAGGGAGAAAGGGGGAGTTTGAGTGGAAGGAAACGGAGGAGTGCGAAAGGCATACAACGATAAGAACAGACAGGGTGGTTGAGAGGGTGGGATGGGACGGATAGAGAGGGAGCATGCATGCAGGCAAAGAAACAGAGGGAGCAGCTAACCCAATCTCCTCATACCAAACGGCCCTTCACATCCCCTCCTCCCTGTCCCCCTTCCTCACAAGTCCCCCCTCCACACACTCCTACTCACTCATCACGCGGCAGTCTCACCCTCCCTAGCACCCTGCTAGGAACACCCTCCCAGCCAACCACCACAAGCACCTTCCCTGCCAAGCAGCCAAGAGGCTAGCGGGCGGTACTCACGTCGATCTGCTTCTCCAGCCCTGGGATGGCCCACAGTGAACCACGCGCCGCCTTGAGCACACAATCTGTTGAGGCGCCAGCGCCTCTAAAGACACCCCGCACTCAGCCACCCCCCCGTCCAGTCCCCAGCAATCCCTTTCCCCCAGCGACCTGGCGGGCGGTACTCACGTCGATCTGCTTCTCCAGCCCTGGAATGGCCGCCAGCGATCCCCCCACCGCCTTGAGCACAAAATCAACCTTGGGGCGCGGCTGTGGCAGGGGGCCAATGGGGGAGCACGGGGAGGGGGCATGGGGAGGTGGCAGGGAAAGGGGGAGAGGGAAGGGGGAAGAGAGAAAAGGGGAGTGAGAGAGAGGGGAGAAAGGGGGAGAGAGACGGGGTGAGAGAGGGTAAAAAGAAAGGGCTCAGGGCAGTACGGAGAAGGAGAGGTGAAGGGAGGTAGTTAGGGCACATTGAGTAGCTTCAAGAGGAGAAATGGAATAAGAGGAGGAGTTGAGAGGTGAAAGAGCGAGTGGGTGTGGGCTAGGAGGAGGAGACGCATGGGAATAGCAGGCGAGTTGGAACCACTTCTGAAGCGCCTCAAAAAGGGAATTACAGGCGAATTGGAACAACGGACCGGGGATGGGAAGGCCCGGGCAGCAAACCATCAGTCTTACCTTGCAGCACAGCAAGCACTCACCCTTGCTGTCCCACACCACACCCACCACACACTCCCATTACACCACACTGCACCGCACCCCACCACACTGCACCGCACCGTACCGTACAACACCGCACCGCACCTTGCGCAGCAGCGAGGCGACAACAGCGTCGATGCAGGGCATCTGCTCGCCCAGCTGGAAGATGAGGCGCAGCGTGGCCTGGAACACAAGATTCTTCACCTGCCGGGGTGGAGGGGGATGCGTGGCGGTGGGAAGAGCGGTGGAGAGAGGGGGGAGAGGGGAGGAGAGGGAGGAGAGGAGGACACAGGGAGAAGATGAGGCACAGCGTGGCCTCGAATACCAGATTCTTCACCGGCAGAAGGGGAGGGCGGGGGGGAGGGGAAGCGGGGAGGAGGGGGGAGGAGGAAGGAGAGGAGGCGACATGGGGTGCACATGAGGCGAGGAGTGGCCTGGAACACCAAATTCTTCACCTAGAGAGAGGGGGAGAAAGGGGGGAGAGGGGAAAGGGGGAGAATGGAGCAGAGGGGGGAAGAAACGGGGAGAGAAGAAGGAGGGAGAGTGGGGGTGAGTTGCATATGAGGTGAGGGGAAGAGGAGAAAGCGAAGGGGAGGGTGGGAGAGAGGGGGGGGGGAAGAAGATGAAGTGCAGATGAGGCGCAGGCAGCAGGCAGGCACCATGATGTGGTGGAGAAGGGATGCGCGGGATTGAGGGGAAGGATTGAAAAAAGAATGCTCTTCTCTCATACCCGCACCCCTACCCTCACATTCACCACTCCTCACCCTCTTCTACCTCACCCCTCACTTCCACAAAACACCGCCGGTTCCTCCCGCGAACTCGCGTACCCACCTGCACTTGCAGCGTGACAGCAGCGGTCTTGATGTTGAGAATGATGGAGGCGTCGCTCTGCCAGCAGATGAGCAGATCCATGATCACCTGCTCCTCCTCCGCGCCCGTCTTGTGTAGCTTGATGCCTGGGGGATGGGCGGAGCAAGGGAGGGAAGGAGGGGGTTTGGCCTTGCAGGCGACTCACAACACATGAACGCGCGCGCACACACACACTCACACACATGCACTCCCACCTTCGATGTGCGGCGCCTTCTCGCCGTCCTTGCCCAGCTCAAACTTGTGGAAGGTCATCGATGATACCATGGAAGGGCGGTTGGGGGTTGCAGGCGACTCACACAGCCCACACACTCACACTCACAAGACACACTCATAGACAGAGGGAGATCATCACACCTTCAATGTGAGGCACCGTCTCTTGGTCCATGCCCAGCTCAAACTTGTGGAACGTCATGGACGAAACGATGGACGGGAGGGCGACCGTGCAGTTGACACTGAGTCATTGACACACAAGGCAGTGGCACACACGCACATGCACCGCTCACGCTCACGCTCACGCACCTTCGATGTGCGGCGCCTTCTCGCGGTCCTTGCCCAGCTCGAACTTGTGGAAGGTCATGGACGACACGATGGACGGGCGGTTCGCCTCCAGTATCGGCTCCATCGTCTCGCGCACCACCTGACTCGTCGCCTGCAGGGGGAGATGGGAGGGGGAGGGGGAGGGGGCGGGGAGGAGGGGGTTGAAGGAAGTGCACAACGCCATGGACGGGCGGTTGGCTCCCAGTATGGGCTCCATGGTCCCGCGCACCACCTGCCTCGTCGCCTGTTCACCGCATCATACGGAATGAGGTGGGACGGGGAGAGAGAGGGCGAGAACGGGGGGCTTGATGGCGAGGGGAGGGAGAGACGCAAGGGCTCTGAGGCGCGTCAAGAGAGCGCACACGAGGAGCGAGCGCAATGCAAGGAGCGAGAAGGAAGGGGGTGATGGCATGGCGACAGACTCACCTTGTTGATGTGCGGCCACAGCTCCGATAGCATCCGCGTGACCCAATCCGCCTGTACGGGACACGACGATGACGGATAGTAGGGGCGACGAATGGAGCAGGGACGGGCGACAAGGGAGGAGGAGGAACGGCACAGACAGATAAGCAAGGGAGGGAAGGAGTCAAAGAGCTGAGGGAGGCAGCACTGTGTGTCCGTCGGGATGACGAAAAAGGAGATAACTAGACTAAACGAAAGAGATGGCGAACATTTGTCAGCGAGTTCGATGATACCTAGTCGAATCCCAACACATCTCGTTCAAGCCAATCACATCTCGTCGAATCTAATCATACCACGACGGATCCAAACCAAACGTCATCGCATTGGACCGCACATCATCGTATTCGGTGAACTTGACCCAGGTGGGGCAGAGCGGCCCGCAGATGGCTTTAAGCTCGTTGAGCCCGATTCCCTGCACCGCCATCAGATCGCTCTTCTGCACCCGCCACCGAGACGGAGAAAGGGAGAGAGAGAGTGCGAGAAAGAGAGGGAGGGAACGATGGTAGGCAAGAGAGGGGGTGATTGCCGCGAATCAACAGGGCGAGTGGCGCTTGAGCTCGTTCAGCCCGATGCCCTGCACCGCCGTCAGATCGCTCTTCTGCGAAACACGTCGCGCGGTGTAATCGCCAGGAGGGTGGACGCGGGACAGGCAGGGGGTAGGGTGGTGATGGAGACGAGAGGGAATGCGAGAAAGAGGAAGTGAATAATGTGAATCGGTCAATATGAAAATGTTACGAGGCGAAGAAGACAAAAAGCGACCACGAGACAAAGACGAATAAGGAAAGACAGGCTTCGGAAGAACGGCGGGGGAGAGGGAGTCAGCGCCGAGAAGCGAGTCGAGTTGCGAATCGGCGAATCGGCGAATCAGCGAATGGGCTGACGTGACATTGAGCGGAACCACGCCCGCAAATCACGGCATTGGAAATCCGTGACATTAAGACGTTGCGACACTACCGTCGGCGTAAGCGATGCGATGAATTTCATAACATATTAACCAAAAAGAAAACGAGCGTACAAAAACAAATCAATGATGAAGAAATATACCACGGTGTTCCTCTTGGCCTGGCGGACGGCCATGAAGTAGTTCCAGGCGTACATGATGACCACGCCGATCACCAACCCCACCAGCACGCTCGACACGAACCCCATGCCTGCTGCCGCCGCCGCCGCCTCGCGTCACCGCACGGGAATCGAGGGATTTGCTCCACGGGATTTGCCTACGTTACGCCCGGATAGAACGCCTGACTAAGCGAAAATCTGCCTTGCTTTCAACGAGGTGCCTTATTATTCTGGATGGAGTGTCTGTGGATCCTATCCGTGAGGCAGACACAAATGGCTGGTAATGCTGTGGTCAAGATTGTGACATTGCGCTTTCTTGAGATTGAGCTCTGGCGCACAAGTTCAGGAGGTCGGGTGGGGCGGGGCGGAGGTGGGGGGCGGAGCGCAGCGGACAAAAGGACAGTCGATGCGGGGATCCCGACTGGACTGAACGGTGCCGTCGAAAAATCTCGTCATTCGCGTTGCGATATCGAATCATTGCTCCTAACATGAAGCGAATTGCAAAAGATCCTAGTGACTAGATGATTTACAAGGTACAACCAGCTCAAAAATATTATGACTACGTGCTACACCAACACAATTGGTACAGTAAGTGTCACTCTACAAAACAGCGCCATACTGCAAGTCTATGGCCTGGATCCAGGACTTGGTGGTAAACCACACTGCATTGGTGGTAGCCCACAATGTCTTGGTGGCACTCCCTCATTGCCAACCTCCAAGCAGTGCCACCACACGGTGTGCAACTGCCTCTCCAACCACCACCACCACTCCCCACCGGTAAGGAGGGGAGGATGAGGCAAGGCAGAGTGCAAGTGGAGGGGGGCTAAACCCCCTGGGTAAGGTGAGAGCAAGGAAGGGTCAAGAGGTTGAGCCTCCCAGAGCATGGCTTCTGAGAGGCAAGAGAAGAGGACTGGAACCAGTGCCCTAGATATCAGACTTTAAAGTCTGATTCAGAGTCCGTTCAGACTTCTTTTTTGTACCTAGTCTGAAGTCCAAGATTTTTTTTATGTACCTTGTCTGATTTTTCAGAGGTTTTTTTATGAGTTGTCTGAAATTTCAGCCTTTTTTTTAAGTGTAGGCTAAGCCTCAGACTTGTATCGGGGGTACACTCTGCGCGCTTATCGAAGCGAAGTTTCCTGGAGGTTTCCTTTCAATATGCCCACTTCCGAGATGGCAGTGGAGTGCCAGGACGTGAGCACCGCACACTTCAACAGCTGGGACGTCCGAATACACTCGTTCATCGATAATATCTTCCAGTTGCTGAGGAAATGTTTGCGTAATTATGGGATTTTTAAGACAAAATCTCGTCACATGTAAGTTATCGCTAATGTATTGTAAAGAATAGGAGACTTTGATGGTGATTTGCTGTAAAATCATCTGCAGCACGCCTGTGAAATTGCGAAGGTCCTGATTCGTAGTGAAAGTTTCGTGTGGCACTACCTGATGCTCACATCACACGCCACGCCAAGCAACAGTTCCTGCCTGCTGACAGCTCAGCTGCGTGGCACTTGGCCCACCTGATACAGATCGGGTGAACGATCGCATCGCTAGAAACGCAAATCCAAAAGTGACAAAATTGGCACACAGGCGAGAAAATGGGTGCAGAACGGTAATCACACACACGGCAAAACGAAATGAGATCAGCAGAAACAACCATGCGCTGCACGTGACAAAAACACCAGAACGCCGCCGACATGAGCAGTGGCGATGCACGAGCACGTTGCCTGATGCGTTGGTAGGCTGTAATCAGCTTCAATGCTATTATAACTATGCTGTTATGAAACTGCATGAACATCTTAAATTTTGAAGTAACTCTAACAGTTCAGACAAAAAAAGTTGTGCTTGTCAAATGTTTATATATTCTATATATTGTTAGATAGGCTACTGTGAGTTGCCCTCTAAAGGGTACAACACTTTAGGTCGACATTTGTATCTCCTTGTCCCTCCTTACTCAAACGATTACTCTCGACACTTGTCTCCTAGCCTATCTTAAGATGGTATTAGAGTAGGTTTTTTACTCCCTCCCTTAGCCGGTCCCGAGGCGCCCTCCCTTAGGCCCCGTTTCGTCGCGGGTAGGACGGCCCCCGCGGGCCTCGTTTTCGTCGCGTTTAAGGGCCCCCGCGGGCCTCGTTTTCGTCGCGTTTAAGGGCCCCCGCGGGCCTCGTTTTTCGTCGCGTTTACAGGGCCCCACTGGCCCCTCGTTTCGTCGCGCTCCAGAAGGGACTCTCCCCCCCCCCCCCCCCGCGGGCCCGCGTAGTCGTTCTTAGCCCGCAGCAGCGCGCGCGTTAGCCAGCGGCAGCCGCGCACGCCACTGCAGCACGCGCATTGCAGCAGCAGCGCGTGCTTTGCTGCAGCAGCACGGCTAGGCAGCAGCGCGTGCATTGCAGCAGCAGCACGGCTAGGCAGCAGCGCGTGCATTGCAGCAGCAGCACGGCTAGGCAGCAACGTGTGCATTGCAGCAGCAGCACGGCTAGGCAGCAGCGCGTGCTCCTGCAGCAGCAGCACGGCTAGGCAGAAGCTAGCCGCCAGCAGCAGCTAGCCACCGGAACCTAGCCGCCAGCAGCTGGCGCCAGCTAGCCCCTCCCACCCGCCCACAGCCCCTTTCAACCGCTCACAGCCCCTTCCAACCGCTCACAGCCCCTTCCAACCGCTCACAGCCCGTTCCAACCGCTCACAGCCCCTTCCAACCGCTCACAGCCCCTTCCAACCGCTCAGAGCCCCTTCCAAACGCTCACATCCCCTTATCACGCGCGCACACCACCCAGGACCACCCGACCTCCGTTGGTTCGACACTCGCGTCACTCATACTCACAGTGTTTCGCACCGTCGCGGCTGGAGGCCGCTCCGCTTAGCTGTTTAGGCTAGTCCTGACGTTCGTTGTTAGCTAGGTCTCTCCTCGCTCCGCCAGCCCCTCGAACGACCCTCTGGCTCCTCGATCGGCTCGTCAGCCCTGCCTCCTCCAGCCGTGTGCTCCTAGGTCAGCTAACTCCCAGCTCCGTTCGTTACTAGACTGGCGTTCCTAGCTCAGTTTTCCTCCGTGCTCCAGCAGTACCTCGCCTAGTCCCACCTGGCGCTCCTCGCTCCTAGCTCCGTTTGCTCCGTGCTCCAGCTGTTCCTAGCCTAGCGTCCAATATGGACTCCTCCCGCCGCCTTCGTTTCGATGCAGAGGGGCGCCCGATAGAGTTCGGCACCTGGCTCCGCCAGACTCAGCGCTATCTCACCAGTCAGCGCCAGGACGGCGCCACCCTGTACGCCCACGCGTCCGGTGCCCTCCAGGCACCACCGCGTCCCGAGCCCCTCCCTGCCGTGCCCCCCCCGACTCCGGAGGCACAGGCGGACTACGCTCGTCTCGTCTTGGCGCGGGACGTTTGGGACTCCCGTGACGCTGCGGCTGCACTCGCGCTGACCGAGCTCCTTCCACCGACTGAGGCCGCTCACTTCGACCTGGTAGAGACTGCGAAGGAGGTGTATGATGCTATTTCTGCACGCTATTCCACCCCTTCCTCTGCCTCCCTCAGCCGCATCCTCATGCCGTTCGTGTTTCCCGACCTCGGCTCTTTTGCGACTGTCTCTGACCTAGCCACACACTTGCGCTCCCTTGTCGCTAGCTACCGAGCAGCTTGCACTGAGGCTCAGCTTCTTGTTGCTCCTCCTCCTATTTGGCTCACAGTCCACTGGGTAGTCACTCGTCTCCCTGACCGCCTCTCCACTGCCCGTGACGCACTTCTCCAGCATCACCCCAGTGAGCTTACGATTGATCTTCTCGAGACCACTCTCGGGAAGATCGAGAGTAACCTCCTCTCTGTTGCCTCAGCCACTGACGCAGTTGCCCCTCGTTTGTTTGAGGGGTGTGCTGTCCCCCAGCTTCCTACCTTCACTGCTACACGTGCCTCTGCTGCTGTGTCGGTTTCTGAGGACAGTGCAGCTGTTTCTGCCGCTGACAGGCAGAAACGGGGCAAGGGGGGCAAGAAAGGGGGGAAGGGGGGTGGCGGCGGTGGAGGAGGTGGCGGTGGTGGAGGCGGCCCTGGGGGCGGCAGTGGTGGCGGTGTTGCCCCAGGCGGAGGGAGCTCTGGAGGAGGTGCTGACCCACCTGCTGGAGGAGGTTCGACCAGCGGTGGTGCGGGGCCCCAGCAGCAGCAGCCACAGCAGCAGCAGCCACAGCAGAGACAGCAGCTGCACCAGGGACAGCAGCAGTGGCAGGCACCACAGCAGTTTCAGACGTGGGGACCCCCACTGCAGTGGGGTCCGCAGCAGCACTGGGGCCCTCCGCCACAGTGGGGACCTGGAGGACCCGGGAGCACTGGCCGCAGCAGCAGCACTACCAGCTGGGCCCCTCGCCCCCCGCGGCGCGACACCGGCCCCTGC